GAGCATTTATTTTAATAAAAGTTTTACATTTACCTTTCAAAAAAAAAAAAAAAAAAAAAAAAGATTCCCATGTTTGGTTCAGGTTATGTAACTTTCCCAGGGAATGTCAGATAACCTCCGCATTAAGTTTTTAGATATTAGAAGAGAATGTGAGATACCCTCCAATTTCTTAGGTAATCTTACATTCCCTTGTCTTATTACTAATGTTGGACTTTTGACGTTTTAATCAATTTATCTTATTATCGGTTGTCTTATTTATATATCTTAGTTTTAAGTCAAACACAAAAATCTAACATTCTATAAGGTAATCTAACATTTCATGAACTAAACTCACAGTAAAATTCTCATTTCTTTGAGTCAACCTAATAGTCTACATTGACTGTTGCTTCATCAATCATCATCGGTCAACTCAACTCTGATCGAGTTGGCATTTCTATGGCGTCAACTTTCCAGCTCACAAACCTCACCTTCCTCTCCCCTCTCCCTATAAATAGGAAACTGGGTTTTCTCATTTCCCTACAAACCCCACTGTTAACACACTCCCTCTCTCATCAACGTATTCTGGAAACACCTTTAGTTGTCATCAAGTAGTGTCATGTCTTTTTGGTAGATTCACCGGATTATCAGTGGGGTTATTGAGATTTAAAAAAAAAAAAAAAAAACAAGTATAGAACATGTCAGGAGGGTCTGTGAAGGTGGTGGTAATCAACACTCAATACATAGAGACAGACGCCCGGAGCTTCAAATCAGTGGTTCAGAGGCTCACCGGCAAGGATTCTACGGCGGAGTCCACTGTGGCGCCGCCGGGTCTCAACGGTAGTGGTGAAGGAACGGCGGAGATTAGTTCGACTTTGTCGAGGGGTCTGTCTTTTAAGGATTTTGACAATTTGTTCATGAATTTGCCTCCCTTCGAAGAGCTTTATCGAGTTTTATACTGAATTCCATATATTATTCCAAACATCTACATATGTTCTTAATTAATTAGCTTCTTCAGGATGGTTAGTTATTCCTTTAATTTTTTATTTAGTAAAATTTACATTGGTTTACTCGGAATAAATTAACCTGTTGGTCTACTACCTACCGACATTTGCTCATACTAGCTTAAGTAGTTATTAGAGCATTCATAATAGTATGGTTTTTTTGTAATTTTTGAGTAATTTTTACATGTGTGATTAAGAAAGATAATATAGAGAAGAGGAAAAAATAAAAATAAAAATAATATTGAAAAAAAAAAGATATTGTGAAAAAGACTCACACGACCAGGAGTGAGAGCAACTCTAGTGGGACGGTAAATCTGCAAATTCCAGCGCCATCCCACCATTTTGCCAAATTTTTCATCTCCGATCCAAGGTGTAGCGTCAAAACGCCATCTCGCCATTTTTTTGGCGATAATGAATCACTAGTTATATTTTATATTAAACTAATTAAGTTCGAACTAAATTATATTAAACTAATTAAATTCAAACTAATAATTGAGAAATCAAATTATTTTAGTATAGAAATTTGGTGTTTTGGTGTAAATGGATTGGATGTTAAATAAAATTTGGTGTGAGAATATTCCTTCTGATATGACATTTGGTGGAGAAATTTGGTGTTTTGGTGTGAATTGAGTTAGAGATGCTCTGAGTGATCTTCATGCGTTCCATGGTTGCTTATTTAATTAAAAATGGGACCCACTTTTTCGGAATAAACTCCATCCTTGCATAAGTTTTTTTTTTCATACTTCTCTCTCTTCCACCTTGGATGCAAATTAAAACATCAAAATCCGTGAAAGGACACTCTATAATCTGCTGCTATGGATGCTCTTACTTAGCTAAAATAAATTGATAATTTAGGGTGTGTTTGGTTGTCACATGAGAATCGGAATGTGAATCAAATACTTAGTAATGTTAATGAGTTTTGGTGAAAGTATTTTGCATGTTTGGTAGTATGGTAGAATTGGAATGATTACCAATATTGATGTTTGGTTGTGTATGATTCTATAATGTGAATAAATGTTTTAAAAATACGAAAACAAAAAATCAAAGCCGTTGATCCTAATATAATGACATCTAAATCATCAATATGAACAAAGAAAAAATAAAACAAAATTATAAAAATACTAATCCAAACTTAAAAGTTAGATTACCAATAAGATGGAATGATACCATTTTTAATTAGGAAATGAAATTTTTAATTAAAGGGGTAATCAAAACCACCCATAGTTGTGTTTTAAAAAAATTATCAACCAAACCCTATTTTCTATGGAATTTGATTTCCATCCAACCAAACACCCCCTATGGAACCAAACACATGAACTAAACACACCCTTAGTTTTACTAATTGTTAGAATTAACCTCTTTCACAAATCTTCAAAGTAGAAATGGTAAGACTCATGAGGATTGGTGCAATCATTTACAAACTCGTTAAATTTATTGAAAAAAAGTCTATCGTGTCTTGTGTGATCCAAGTGAAATTCATGTTGTGATCTTAATTGATAAATAATCATAAAAAAAAGTCTAAATTATACGTAATTGATTGGCTAAAAAAAACAATAAATATTAAGTCCATGACTAGTCGAAATTGGAACTCATCACATGATGCACTTAGGATAATAAGGTTTGATCAAGGCTAAGAAACTGCACTCTTGATTGGGAACTAGCTCAAAGTGGATTGTTTCTACTTTGACAATACATTTATATTTTACATTATAATATGCACATATAATTGTATGATTTGTTCAATATATCAACTAAATCACACTCTAGCACCAAATTAAATGATGTATTCAAATTCAACAAAAATATTAAATTTACATATAATTGGATTGTCCGCAGAAGGAGAACAAACAAACAAAGAAAAATAGAGAAAAAAAATGTGGTCTTCAAACAGGAAAACGACGAGTAAACACTCCACTAATAATTTATGAGAGGGACAATATATGTCACGTTTTGAAAATTGAAAGGCAACATTTATATCACTAATAATTTAGTTGTGACATTGATAATTGACATATTTGTGATGAGCATAAATTACAACCTTCCCTGATGGGGTGAGGACCCCGGCCCAAGAAAGATTGGCCCAAAGAAGAGAGCCCAAGACAGGAAAGGTGGGCTAGCATCGGGAGAAGCCCGGAGGGTGCTTGGGCCGAGTCCAGGAATCGGCCCAGGCCCAAGTACGGGGACCTAGCTCAGGATTGCTAAGAAGAGCCCAGCAAGAGCTTGGGTCGAGGGCGAGGAGTCGGCCAGGCCCCAAGCCCAGAGAAAGACTCGGCTCAAGGAGCCGTTGAGATCATCAAAGAGACTCTTAAACAGGGAACCGTTAGAGCATTAAAAGGCCGGACTTGGTCCGGCTGTTACGAGCTTGAGAGAGCCGTTGGCCGACTCAGTAAAGGCGACCAACGGCTCGATACTTTAATTAGTCTTGAAGTCGGCTATTAAGGGTCTTCAAGTCAGTGGGGGAGGAGCCGTTATATAAATGCTCCTCCACTCTTGTAGAAGGCAGACACAGAAAAGAGGACCCGGAGAGGGAATAGAAGAGATTCTAAACAAAGCATTTTCTTTCTTTCGAGACACACATTTTATTGAAAGGTGTATCCTCCAGCTAAAGGTTGTGTTGGACCTCCTTGGGCCCGAAAACCCAAAAACCATCACTGGCGCCGTCTGTGGGGATTGAAACTAAGAGTCGCGTGTCCTCCTGAGCAAGGCGAGTTCGAGAAACAACGAGAAGAATTTCGGTCATAAGACGTAAGGAATCAGAAAAGCTCCTAACATGACTGGAAGTCAGGAACAGTTAAGCCGACATGATAGCGGATTGGGGGCGGACTTGAGAAACCAATTGAATCGGAGAAACACTCGGAGCCGGGAAAACGAGACAACGCCGCCGCCCACACCACCGATAAATCAACAGCCGCCTCAGGTGCAGCTCACCCCGGAGCAACTACATGCGATCAGGCGTGCCTTCGCCGAGGCGAGTCGAGGAGTAAGAGAACAGTCTGCCACTCGTTTACCGCAACGCAATCAGCAGCCGTCTCATGGGCCTGATGACCGGCAACAGAACCGCCGAGCCGAGAGCCAGCCGGTACAGTCCGTTCATTCTTGGCTAGGTCCGAGCGTCGGACGGCGGTCGGGGAGAGAACGACTAGGTCGGAGGGAACCCAGTCGTGCCCCGTTGGCTGCTCGCAATCGGTAGACTGCACGCGAGGAAAATCGTACCAGAAGAACCAGGACTGAGGCTCGCCGTATAGAGCAGCCCGTCCGCAACCGCAACGAACCGGCCGAGTCGGAGGTCGGTGAGAGCACGGAATCAACAGGAAACCATACCCGGGAGAGGGTCGAGGTGGCAAACTTAGTCCAAGAAGTGCGAAATCTGAGAGAGCAGGTAGAGGGTCCACTTGCCCCGGACCTCTAAAATGATAAAACTGGCCCTGTTTATATATGAGAGAGTAGGAACGGACGTTCAGTCCTCAAATAGTATAGTGCTCTGATCTCATAAGTCAAGCTTCAAACACGAGCTCTAATCATCCCGATATGAGGTATGAGTAATAGTAATTAATGATGATGAGGGGCCCGGCCGATTCATGAAGATATGTCTGTATATTTTTATATATACATATATAGAATTAAATGTTATATAAAATTTATATTTATGTTTAAATTATTAATAGTTTGAATAGCTTAGTTGGTTGAACTCCAAACTTGAAGGTCACATATTCAAAACTCATTAGTAACACTTTCCCTTACCTACTTTTTAAATTATGTTTAATATTTTGTCATAAATATTTTTTCACCCCACGTAGTCTATCAAAAACATTCTGTTGTAAATTATAATGTATTTAACTCGTATTTTAACATTATTATTACTGTTTGATATATATTTTATCATTGATATTTCTAATTTCATTTAAACTTCGTCCTCACTCAAATAATTTTTTGATTCGTCATAAAGTAGGAATACATTTGATGAGAATTTTGTGAATAATATTTAGACTTGGTGATTGGGTTTGAATGAACACATATGAATGGTAGATATGTAGATATGTATCTGGATATACATTGGACCCATGTAGATAATGGGTAGTCCACAAACCCAAACCTACAAACCAGTCTAAACTCTTGGGAGGACCATGACCCAATAACAAGTCCAATATTGTTTGAGTTCCAAAAAGTAAGACAAACAAAACATAAACATCTTTGTTTTACAATTGAAATTTTCTTGATATTGTCGTCTTCAATAGCTAGTCTCCAGCTGAACTAATCAAGCACTTGAGCAAATTAAAGCAGAAGAAACCCTCAATTCGGCCTGGATCACAATACAAAACATGTACCTTAAGTAGAAGCATAAAAATATGATGATTAAGAATGAAGCAAAAACTAAGCATAAATAATCTCAATGTTCCCTGAGTTGTTTGTGAAATGGCTGGTCGTGTCTTATTGTACAGTATCTTAATTGAGATCTTCTGAAGCTGAGAATGATGACAGTGTGTTGGTGACTTTGGTCCCAAAATAGTGTTGGAAATGGATGCAACTCTACAAACCCACAACTTCATAAATTGAAAACCAAATTAAAATCTTACTCCACCTCATATATATCTAATTTATAAGAAAATTCTAGCCGATTTACCTAATGCACACTCTTAAGTAGTGACAACAGATTTTGCTGGTCATTCAAATAAAAGAATAAAAAAAAAGTCTACAATGTCCATAATGCTCTAACTGAAAATAAAAGGTTAAAATGTTGTGTACATAAAAGTATTGATTTTTTTTTTTTCTTCCCTAAAGTAATCTAATCTAATACTTTAATACCTATAGCAAAATCATATTGGAAGTAAAAATGACAACATTGCCCCTCCCATTCCAAAAAGTATATAAAAAGAAGTCCTAAGCAATATGAACCAAACATTCCCTATCTTAAACTCAAACCTGAGATGAAACCATGACCCACAGTTTTGGATACAAAGTCACCAACAAACTGCCATCTTCTTCACTTTTGCCCTCTAAATATATAAAATGCTCAATTCATTCTTGCTTTTCTGTGATCTCCCAGACACAATAGCCCTGAGGTTTTTATACAAAGTTTCTTGGGGTTACATATTTAAATTATATTTTCCTTTTAATTTAGTACACAATTGTAGTACTGCTACTTCTTCTTCTCCCAACAATTGTAGTACGTACTGTTACCAAGCCTAGTTGTTGTTCTCCATTGTTATCTAAGCCTCTCCGAAGTACTAATTTAGTACTATGTATTATTTTGCTTTGAGGTTGGAGGATGTACTACTTCTGTACTATTTGTAGTACAAAGGTTTTGGAATTTGGAGTGCCCAATCAATGCAAGCCTTTAGTGCAATCATGTGCTTCCGTTTTGGGAAAACAATATATTATTTGAGTTGAAAAGTCTTGACGCTCCACTAATATTATGGGCCAGAATTTTATTTTTTTTTGTTGGTTACTCGGAGTTCGCCCGTCTGATTCATGGAAAATATTTTAAAAATTATTAAGCAAAAAATTTTATTATTTGATTGGTAGAGAAAAAATTACTGGAAGTATTGATTCTATTATTTAGTTTGATTTGAAATGGTAAAAAAAATGAGTATAAACACTTGTATGCTCTTACAAAATAATAAAAGTAATAATAATCTAAGAAACAATAAGAAGGGCAAAATTATTAAATCACCTCATTTTTTCTTCTCAACTCCCATGAAAAATAAAATCACATGTCCTACCAAGGATTTTGTTTTCCTCAAATGTGAGGAATTCATTAGAAAATGATCAATTCCATAAACCAAACACAAAAAAATAACATTTTCCTCCACTTTAAGGAAAACTTTTCCATCCAACCAAACATCTCCTAAAGTTTTAAATTTGATTTTTCATGCAAGTTGTCTGTATTGGTCCTCTTAATTTGAGTCAGTCATAACCGGTCCATTATAAGCCAATCATTATTGTGTGGACCATGATCCACATAAGTTGCGTGGACCATATTTTGTATATTGTAAATATAATGTACATTCAGTACAAAAATAATGTAATTGTATTCATGGGATGTACATTATTTGTGTACTGAGTGTACATTATATTATATAATGTACATTCATACAAAAATAATGTACATTTAATATATTAAAAATATATTTTTTGTTATGGTCCATACAGCACTGTGTAGACCATGGTCCACACAATAATTTGTCATTTTAAGCAATTAAGGCTTAATTATCCCTTTGTTGTCCTTTACTAGCTGGACTACAAGACGGACTTTATCTAGGACACACTTTAGGGTAGCTACAAGGTTTTTTTTTTTTTTTTTTTTTTTTTTTTTTTTTTTTTTTTTTTAAATCAAAGGTAAATTAACAATTGGAATATTTTTTTCCTGAAAAAAAAAAAAAAAAAAGGAAAAGAAACAATAGGAAGATCTTTAAGTATACTCGCATATATGAAACATTACTTTTGTTATATGTCTTGATTTTAACAAAGAAGATTGAGAAAATATGATTTTCCTTTCTTCTGGATTCATCAGTGTGTTCCAGAAGAAGAAACAATTATGCCCCTTTTGAATTAATCAACTCCATCGTTTAACAGCAACAAAAAATGAAAATAAAAACAAAGTGAAAAAATATAAGAGTAAGTATAATATTAATCATAATAACACTTATACTCGTTATTTGTACTTATGCTCACACATTTTATTTGAAGAAGTATGAGTGTGAGTGTGTATTTTAATAAATTTGTGAGTGCAAAAATGAATATATGAATAAATTGATTATTACGTTGTTGTATTACGTTTTAAGTTTATGGGTGAAAGATTTTTTTTTTTTTTTTTTGAGTTTTTATAATTAAATGTTTTAAAATTGGTAATATACTAAACAATTTAAAAATTTTAGTGTAATTTTATCCTTATTTTAATCTAATAAGGATTTACTTCTGCTGTTTTAGTTTATATTTTTGGTTCGATGAACAATGTTAAATTATAAGAAAATATTAAAAAGAAGAAGTTAGTTTGATAAAAATGATAGATAAAATGGGATAAAAGAAGTATATAATTTGAATCCAATTAAAATGGTATAAAAGAATGGATCAATGGATCAAGTTTATAAAATATGCCATTTATTTATCAATTGAGCACTATTTGAATAAAAAATTAATTGATTGTATAGTGGTCATTTATAGTTGTTGCTTGCACACACTAAGAGTAACCTTAAGAGAGGTTTTTGCACGGACTTTTTTGATTTAGTTGAAGAATAAATAAGGTGAGTTAGAGACGTCTAGTAACATGAAGTGACTCTCTCAAATGGGAGATCATAAGTTTAATTATATTGAGTTTTAGTGGGGGGTTGTATTGGCTCTTTGTGTTTCAGTATGATGAAAAAGTAGTTGAGTAGTTATGAATAGATATTATAGTGTAACAGAGTCAGTAGTACTAAAAAAAATGTGAATTAAAAGAAAAAAATAAAATGAGAGAGAAGAAAATTATTTTGTAGTAAAATGATTTTTTTTTTTTTTGGTGGGCCTCACAAAAAAAAAAAAAGAAAAAGAAAAGAACCTGAGAGAAGAACCTGTTTTTTTTTTTTGTTTTGTTTTGTTTTGTTTTTTTTTTTTTTTTGTTCTCTCCCTCTCTTCCAACCATATGGCAAAAAAGAAGCATTTTGCAAAGGGACATGCAATATTTTAAAGGTATTTAACACCTAAGAAATAATGTCAATTTTTTAGGGTTAGATTTCCTTGGATTGTGCTAATTTTTTTTTTTTTTTTTTAAACTTGCTAAAAAAGATTATAATTGCTACCAAGTTTTACATTTTTTATAGTAAACTACTAACTTTGGATATGCAACTATAATTCTTGAAACACATAAATATTTTAAATTTTCTTCTATTATACTAAAATCACAATTGTTATATTATGGATCATGATCCACCATGCACATTGTGAACCCTAATCCAAATTATGTATATATAGTTAACATATTATATACCTTTGATTTATTTACGATAATTATGCACATATTATGAACTTAAAATTAAATGTACATAATATGTTAACTTTAGATACACAATTTGAACTATAATTCACCTTAAAATAGTATACGTAATATGGACTTATAATTTGCGCTAAAAAGCAAATGTCACCTTAAAATAGTACGGAGTATTAATTTGGGTCACTTGGCCTTGAGTCCCTTGACTACGGATTGTTGTGTCGTCGAACCTGTCCAGCTTGCAAGGTGGACAAGATTCTATGTTTATAATTATAAAATTTTATGTTTATAATTTTGATCTTCATATTCAATATTATTGAACTCTATATTCACAATTACAGAACTCTATGTTCATAATTACTGAACTCTATGTTCATAATTTTTGAACTTCATATTCACAATTATTGAACTCTTCTATGTTCATATTTATAGAACTCTATATACATAACTTTATATTCATACTTATTGAATTCTATGTTCATAATTTTTGAACTCTATAATCATAATTATGAACAGTGTTGAAACCGTGTCCACCTTACAGCATCATTTGCGGCAAATTATGTTGTGCATCCGTATGCACCATGCATGGTGCATACGGATGCAAAAATGACGTCGTTTTATTAAAAACGCGCGTCTCACTTAAAAAAAAAAAAATCAGTTTCGATTCCCAGCAACAAGATTATATTGTGCATAATTTGAACTATATATCCAGAATCGATGAACTAAAATTCCTGAATCTATGAACTAAAATTCCAGAATGAATGAACTAAAAATCCATAATGAATGAATTAAATATCCATAATGAATGAACTAAATATCCAGCATGAATGAAAAAAATCAGTTTCGATTCACGTCTAAATATCTATAATCAATGAATTAAAATTCCAGAATCTATGAACTAAAATTCCAGAATCTATTAACTAAAATTCCAGAATGAATGAACAACATGAACAACAAAATTCCAGGAGAATCGAAACTAATTTTTTTTTAAGTGGGATGCGAGTTTTTAATAAAACGACGTCGTTTTTGCATCCGTATGCACTATACATGGTGCATATGGATGCATAGCATAACGATCCATAATTTGCCCTTGACTACTTGTCAGGCCCGTTTAAAACCACTAGTACCTCAAGTCCTCAAGTAGCAAGCCCAACGTATATGAAAACCCATTTGTTGTGGCCCCATACCTGTTGAAGGGCAAATTACTCTGTAGACCGCGATCCACAATGTATCGTGGTACATGCATCAAAACGACGTTGTTTTTTTTTTTTTAATGAAAAGAAACGCACATGTTCCGCGCCGTCCGTAAAAAGTAACTTTGATGGTATAATATATTCAGTTTCATTTTGTATACACTGCAGTTTCATTTCAACACAACTACAGTTTCATTCCGATATAACTACAATTTCATATTCGGTATTTACACTCAAATATGTGAGATTGTTATTCAATTTCATTTTATATACACTATACTTTCATTATAATACAATTGCATCATCATTTCGATATAACTACAGTTTCATTGCACAATATACACTCAAATATGTAAAATGTTATTCAGTTTCATTTTATATACACTGCAGTTTCATTTCAACACAATCATTTTGATATAACTACAGTTGGACAATATACAGTCAAATATGTGAAATTGTTATTCAGTTTCATTTTGTATACAATATAGTTCCGTTTCAATTTAATTGCAGTTTCATTTGATAATATAAAAATAATACGTGAGACAGTGTCAGTTTAGCTGTTTAGATATACTGTAGTTTTATTTGGTAATTAACACACCAAAAATACGCGCTCCGTTAAGTTGTAACGGTTGTCGTTTCTTTACTTAAAGAAACGGCCCCGTTTTTGGACCATGGTTCACGATATAACTGCTGCTGTTGAAGGCAGTAGTAGTCCAATTGTTATACCATGGACCAGGGTCAATCTTGCATTGTGGGCCCTGACTAAAAAATTATGCGGCAATTGACATATTATGTACCTGCAGCAGTTAACCCGTTATGTGTCTGTAGTTACCATTTTATGTATTTGTAGTTAACATGTTATGTACCTTCAATTATATATTGTACAACTACAGTTAACATATTCTGAATATCAGTTAATAATTTATTTGTCTCTAATTACAATTTTATGTCTGTAGACTGTAGTTATCCAGTTTTGTACCTTCAATTTATTTACATGAACATAAACGGTTAATTGCAGATATATAATAAGTCAACTGCAATCACATAATCTAAAAATTATTTTGAAATAGGTTCACAATGCAAGATAAACCTTAACCCATAACATTTTCCG